ACTGAGCAGAGTATCCTCATGTCCTATGCTTTCTATGACAGTAATTACGGATCCTTAAATCAGGCATCCCTAGGGGTGCTAAATTGCTCTGGTACATGGCCGAGATATCTGATAACTCTGGATTTGGCACAGAGCATTAAAAAATAATGACCACTTCCATTAGAAAATGAATGGATGCTTGGGGAACTTTGTACTTGTGGTGATGCCCACACTGTGTGATGCATCACCACAGGACCACCTCCTCCATGAACACCAGGTTTTTCCAGGTGATTCTGGTGATGCCCCAGCCTTATTACATGGGTGTGATATAAAGCTTACTGCTCCTGCCTTTCTCTCAGGATTGTCAAACCCATAAAAATTCTTTCCATTACCAGAAGATTAATTTAGGAATTAAGTTCATTACCAGTGTACCCACTTTTTATTTATATGTGCCATCCACTAATTTTCAGGCGTGAGCCCCAGCACAACCTTTGTGTATTACTGAAGGGAGCTTGGAGCTCTAAACCTCTGTTACGAATGACAATCAGTTATTTTTATTAATCTGTATCAGGTTGGAAACAAGCCCTTGGTATATCGTATGGTCAAATATCAATATTGGAAAAGCATTTTCCCCAGTCATGCTGAACGGCTCATTCTCTTGGTGGACTGTCCAGTTTATTCCTATTGTTGAAAGCATTAGGGCAGGCCTTATCCCTAAAGCTTGTCATCTATCACTCCTGGTGGTAAACATCATAAATATTCCAAAATCCAGTGTAGGTGTTGAGACAAAAAGAAGATAATAAAGAGGAGAAATTGCCAAAAAGAGCAAACTGATAATACTTCTATACAATCTAACAGCTTGCCAGAAGTAATAGTTTGGACTTCTGTTCTGTAGATTAAATGGAGATATACATAATCAACTATTTTATTCTAGATAAGCTCATTTCTTTGATTTAGAGCCCAGGAGAAAGACGAATGCCATGATATCTCCCTCCTTCATCTTGTAGTCTGCTAAATAATTTGTGGTAATTCAGAAATAGCTCCAAGCCCTTACATCTGGAATTGCAGGGGTGCAGTTGAAGTCTCACCCCTACTTGAAACATTTATAGGGAAATTATATTTATCAGCCAGAGCCTGAGGTTCCAACCAGCTGCCTGGAATGCACACTGACAGCTGCAGTGAGAGAGCAGCTCTTCTGCATGATGAGTCGTCCTATACAGGGCAGAGGCTTGAAGGCATGAGAAAAGGCTGTTGCAACACCCTTCTAGGCATTCTGCTCCTCTAAAAATGAAACCTGTCAGTGTTCTTCTGCCTCTTGGTGTTTTTTGGTTTTTTATTTTTTTTTTTTTTTTTTTGTAGATGTGAAGGTGTAAAATTGACAGCTAATGTGAGCATTAAAGTTTACAGTGCACTCTCAATGAAAGGCTTGTGAAGACTGAATGTGCATGTGTGTAAGGGGGTAATGTAGCCCATTTCTGTCTTCTCACTTTATTCACCGTCTAGCATCCAGAATCTTCTGTATTTTAAACTGCAGTGGATTAAAGGAAATAGATGTGGAACCAGAACTCAGATCTACAATTAGTTTTAAGATCTTGTCTGACATTCGTTTCACTTCATATTTCCTGTCTGGGGAAATGCTATTACAGCATCTAGGTACATTTAAGTGCTGTTATGTTTAAGTGCTTCACAAAAGTACTTTGATAATTAAGTTACTTTTTTTTTTTTTCCAAAAAAAGGTTTGAGAAGAGGAGGCTGATTAAACCCAGCATTATGTTGGCAGACAGGAGAGACAAAACAGGTTTCTTTTCATTTAAGTGATGAGGACTATCAAGTGGCGAATGCCTTTTTTCCCCACCCTAGCTATATGATAAAAATCAAAAGACAGTATTCTGAATTTATGAAGTTTCAAAACAGTTTCCAAACTTCGACTTTGGAATCAGTTCGAAGTTCTGAACATGGCTAAACCATCCCACCTAGAGCTCATTGGGTGTTATCTTCCAAAAGCAGTAAAATAGCTCATCTCCCTTTTCTGTTACAATGATTTCACTAAATATCTGACATTATTTATATATTATATAATATTATATATAATATATAATTATATAGATAAAATATATATAAAATATACTATAAAATATAAATTATATTATATTATATTATGTATTATGTATATAAATATATATAATTATATATTATAATTATATATATTTATATATTATTTCACTAAATATCTGACATTTACTGCTGACATTGAACTAGTGAGGGATTTTTTTTTCTCTGTTTTTCCCCAAATGGAAGTTTCTTGTGAAATGATGAGGAACATTTCAGAGTTGTGACAGAAATATTAATAACTCTGCTTTGTTCAATTTTAACTATATTTGAATATACAGCACTTCAGCTGTATATTCATAAAGCAGGAACATAACTGCTAGTGTCTGAGAACTCTTTAGCATGCACTGCTTAATATACAAATGCACACGTTTCAAAACCACACAGACAGGAAAATTTGCAATTGAGAAGCTAAATGAGTTCAATAAAAAGACAGAAAAAAATTCTTTATGTCTAATGGCAAAGTACCCTGATGCTGCTATTTTAGGAAGGAAAATTAATGGCCATTTTCTACAAAGGAAGCACTTCTTCTCTGCAGTTTAGAACTGATTAGTACATGGATATGCAGAAAGCTCTCTATGGAATTAGAGAAATATGAATCTGTGCACTTCAATCTATTTTATACATGTTCTGCACGACCTCAACAACTAGAGCTAATGCTCCCTCAGCTCCATTGAACTAATTAAGCTAGGTCATTATATTAATAATGGGTTGCCCTTCTGTCTGCATTTATGGCACTTAGCAAGTCAGTGTGAGTGTTAACACTTATCTCATGAAGGAGAGAGCTCCTGACAATGAATTAGATTAATCCATCAAGAGAATTAATGTGACTTGATTACTGTTGATATCTGAAGAAGCTGGCATACACAAACAGGTATCTGCAGCTGTAGGAAGCAAACAACAACACTGCAAACAACTGGGCAAGGCCCCAAGCCTGTACTATTGAGCAAGGAGGTGGCTGACACCAAGACCTGGTGACAGGCTGCTGATATGGCACAGGCAAAGGGTACCACAGGATTTGAATGTTGCTATCAATGCTTAGGTTAACTCAGCTGGGTTGGTATTTTGCCACAAATAGTTCTAAGGCCATCTGTCATGTAAAAATACCTAATCTAATTAGTTTTCACTTATCTTTTCTTCTTAAGGGGCATGAAAAAGTAAACATATTTCATATTTCAATAACAAAATTAATTAGGAAAAACTCTGCAGTCACCACCCCAAAAGTATAAAATCAACTGCACTTTGGGTATGGCTTTGCCTGCTTTCTTATTCTGTCAATTATTTCATCTCCTTCAGTTCACTTGCTGATAAGAGTGCCATAGACAAAGTTCCTAATGGCTTGGAACCTTAGCTCCTTAAGCTGATGATACTTAGCTGAGAACAGAATGCAATGATTCTTCTGTCATAAATATTAAAACATAACAAAAAGTTGATTGCTGGGATAGAGGAAAAGGTTTCAAAATTGCTGAAGTGGAAATTTATAAAGAAAAAAGGTTCTCTTCTTGGCAGAGAGAAATACGCATGTGAACTGATTTGTATTATGATTTAGTATGAGACAAGTTAAAAAAAATAAAAAGTTTTTCAAGTGATCTTAATGCTGTCTCCTAGAAGTTGATTAGCAGTTCCAGAACTTCCTTCATAAAGAATGCAGCTTTAGAGATCTATCAATACCATCCAAAATTTTTGATTCATCATTGGCTGTGGCACAAGGGAAGAAATACTTGACTTGTAGTTTCACGCCTACAAACCCACTATATTCAATCTGTTTTCCTCATAAACAGGGGAAGGCATGAAGTGACTCAAGTCCCACAGAAGTGTTCTTCAGCCTTTCCATGTCCCCTCTGCCCTCCTAATCACAGGCTGAGGATCCAAAGATTAAGCTTGGTGAACTACCAAGATCTTCTGTAGGCACTGCAGTAGGGAAGAAAATGTTCATGTGGTTTGTTAAACAAACAACAAAATGAAATGTCTATACAATTAAGCTGTTTGTTTAAAACAGGATATATTGAAGTAATTCAAGACTTTATGGATACAAATTTGTTTAGGTATTTATCTGCAGTGTAACACTCATTTAGAGATGAAGTTACTGGAGTGCTCTTGAGTTTCAAAGGCATGATTCATGGCACTCTTCTGTTGCCTAACAAGACATGGCAATATAGGCAGCCCTATAAAATAGCCATAAAATAGCTACTTGGATGCATAATAGCAAATACATACTAAACCCAGTAAATCTGGAGAAAAATCGAACAACATAGGAATCACTGGGTGCAGCTTGCAAAGGTGATTTTATATATTATTCACATAAAACTATTACTTTGACTAATGAAGTCTATAGAACAAGGAGATGTTTCCATGAACAGTAGAACAAGAGGAAGAAAAATAAAATAAAAAAATGTGCAGGCTATCTGTGCAGGCTATCTTAAAACATTTTTGACTGTTATTTCAAAATCAAATTTCCACAAATAAAGAGAAAAATTTTATTCATTGTGGCACTCTCTGCAAAGTCGGAAGGTTAAAAGAAAGTAATTTTGTAACCAAGCATAAAATAGGCATTTGAAAAATTATTTAGCTGGGAAAAAACATAATTTTTTCCACATTAAGATAACTTAAGAACACTCAAATTGATTTTTATTAGACTTCTCATATTCACTTCTGAGCTGACACATGCATGAGACATTCAGCCCCAAAGGTCACTTCTGAGAAGGCTATAAGTAACTGGAAACAGCACTGCAGGATGAAATGATGGCTCATTGCTGACTATTACTGCTGGAGAGTGATAGATATTTTACTCCTGAGGCTAAGAGACAGATTCTGTAAATAAATTTTTATTTCTTGGCAGTGCCGATAGCTGGAACATGATGTGACAGAGCTGGTTTTCCCAATGTTATTATTTGACTTAAAGAGAGTGCGGGATGGATGCTGGCAAGGCCCGTGGGCCTGTGTTGGAGGGAGCCCACCACAGGCTTTTCTCCAGGGCCAGCAGAGAAGGGGACAGGGCGAGCCCTGGCTCCTGGCACCACATGGCGAGTGGCCAAGCCCAGAGCGGTGCTCTCCTCCTCCTGCTCGCTGCCCTGCCCCAGCTGCTCAGCGCTCTGCTAAAACCTCTGCTCCGACGCCCAACGCAAATGGTCAGCCTGGCTGTGAACGCCTCATTCCTCCTCCCCAGGCTTTGGTCACTCCATGCTTTATTCTCTCCATCCCCTCTTGTTTTTGGTGCCAACATGAGTCACTGAAGTTGTTCATCCCAGAGAAGAGGTGGCTTGCGGAGGTTTTAGCCAGGTAAGCATCAGCCTCTTCTCCCAGGCAACCAGCAACAGGGCAAGAGGACACAGCTGCAGGCTGCGCCAGAGGGGGTTTAGGTTGGAGGAAGAATTTCTTCACAAAAGGTCTCATTAGATGCTGGAATGGCCTGCCCAGGGAGGTGGTGGAGTCACCATCTCCAGAGGTGTTCAAGAAAGGGCTGAACGTGGCATTTAATGCCATGATCTTTTTGATTTGGTGTTTGGTCAAAGGTGGACTGTAATTCAGACGCCTTTTCCAACACAAAAATTGTGTGAAAACAAAACACGAGTGGTCTCTGATGAATTACAGCTTTTCTCCAGAGCGAATCGCCGGCTCTGCTGTCCATCCCGGAGGGTGAGGAGGGGCTGACCAGCCGCCTCAGGCTCCCCACAGTGGGTCCCCAGCCGCCTTCGCAGCTCCGCGTTCCCGGCCCCGCCTCTCCCCGGGCCGTCACGGGCTTGGCGCAGGCGCGGCTCGGCCATGGCGGCGGCCGTGGAGCGGCGCCTTGCTCAGTTCCGCGCCGCCCGCGGCAGAGCTACAGCTGCTCCGCGTCCAGCCGAGCCGCCGGGAAAGGCCGCGGCTCCGGAGGCCGCCGAGGGACCGCGGGCAGACGCGGAGGGCCCGGGCGGCAGCGCTCAGGTGAGCGCCGAGGCGGGCGGGGCGGGGGTGCGGCGGCCGGCCGGTGCCTGACGCCGCGTCTCCCCGCCGCCTCCGCAGGTCCGGCCCGGCGCGGCGGCGGCTCCGGTGTGGGCGCGCCCGCTGCTGCTGAAGGTGCTGCTGTGGGCCGTGCTGCTGGCGCTGTTCGCGGAGCTGGAGCTCGGGCTGCCTTATTTCGTCCTCTCCCTGCTCTACTGGATGTACGCCGGCACCCGCGGCCCCGCCGAGCGGCGGCCCGGCGAGCTCAGCGCCTACTCCGTCTTCAACCCCGGCTGCGCCGCCATCGCCGGGACGCTGACGGCCGAGCAGCTGGAGCGGGAGCTGCACTACCGGCCCGCCGCGGGCAGGTAGCGCCGGGCCCGGCGGGGACTGCGCTGTGCTGGGCCGGGACAGCCGCCGCGCCCGGCCGGCCCCGCTGCCGCCGCCCCGAGGAAGGGCCGGGGCTTGGGGGAATGAAATGTGATTTGTTCCTTTGCAGAAAAACACCTGAGCCTTACTGCTGGCCCCGTGCCCCACGGCGCCGGCCGGTCCCGAATAAAGCCGTAGCAAAGCCTGTGCTCTGGTCTCGTTTCCTGGGGCCGGGCAGCTGTTTCGGCCGCTGTGGAGCGGCTCTGAGAGGCACGGCCTTGTCACAGCGGCGGCTGCCAGCGTGTCACCTGGAGAGCTTCAGCTCCCGAGGGCTTTGCCACAGGTGACAGACACAAAGGCTGGCGTTTGAGGACACCTGCAGTGGAAGGGTGCTGCTGCTCTCCCCTGCACCGGCTGGAAATCTCATTCTGAAGAAACGACAAGAAGCAATAGCCATATACTTAAAGAGGCTGCTACTTTTGGTTTGCAGTGGTGTCTTTCACCTAACACAAACATCAGATTATAATTCCCTTTTTGCTTCATATTACAGTTTTCATAATTGTAAGCTTATAAAAAATACGTATTTCTGGCAGCTGTATTTGTATGATCCACTGTTGGTTTTAATGTGCAGATCATTGCATTGAGCCAGACCTGCTCAGCAAAGTGGTAGTCACCACTGCTTAAAGCATGGAAAAAAACAAAGTGTGGCATTTGAGAACATGGTTCTATGGTGGTGATGCTACATAGACAGTTGGACTTGATGGTCTTTAAGGTCTTTTCCAACGGTAACAATTTTATGATTCATTCAGTCATCATTTTGAAGAGCAGCTGCTAGAACTTATGTCTCTGAGGTCAGAGTTAAGAAGAAAAGTCACAAATTGGTCTTTCAAGTCCTGTTCCATTATGTATTCTAATTCTAACAGTTAAACACATTGTTAAGGTTTGACTAACACAAGTTTGATCATTGGTTGTAGAAACAAAAGAAAGTGGTGCTTTGAATTTAACTGGACTAGTAAGAGAGTAATAGATGAAAGCACATGTAATATGTTAACACTGATAAGCATCTGTCAGTAGCTCTCCACAGCACTCTCAGTTTCTATCTTGGGCTGTTGTATAAATTCCAAGTCCTGCTATTTGAAGGCAAAAATTTTTGTCATTTGCACATATTCTGTAATCCTCCAGTAAACCCCCCTCCCCAAGTTTTCTTTGTTCTTACCGATTCCTTTTGACTCTATAACATGCTGCATTTTGTATTTGATTAATGTAGGCTCAGCAGGGTCAAACACCTCTGGGTAGTAGACACACATCTGCCCACATAAAGCATTGTTTCCTTGAAAGAACCACAGACTGTGAATCTTTCCATTCTTTAAAAGTATTCTAGTAACAGGGTAAGAAGTAGTTAGATGGTACTCAAAACACCTGAAAGTAATGGAATTTTGTGAGTTGAAACTTTATTCACAACAATAAAAATAAACATCAGCATAGTGTTTATGGGGAATTGATAATCTGACATCTCGTACAGTTCAGTTCTGTGGGTATTTTTTAAAACAAGAAAATACGTGCAAATAAATATTAAATATAAGGTAAGATCAATGAAATTATAAAAATTCATAGCAGCAATGCTGAAAATAAAGTTTTCACTTGCTATACACTCTAACTGCATTATGTCCAGGTGGATTTATAGACTCTTGTATTTAATGCTTCATGAAACAAGTTACACAATAAGTGAGCATGAAGCCAAAAGGCACAAGAAATAAAAACTGACACAGTTCATCTCTTCCAGTGCTTTGTGTTCGTTTGCTTATTTCGTGCTACTCAAATAAATGTACATTACACATTGTGAAACAGGGATGGCATGAAAAACAAAGACTTGTAAAAGGTTTTACTGAAGTAGATAAAGTATGATGGAGAAATTGGCACTGAGGCCTTGCTCAGTCTCTAAATACACAAATACTGTAAATCTGCTTGGTGTTAATTACTTCCACTGAGTTGTTTTGAGAGGGGATTTTAAAAGGTTTGAACTAGTGAGAGTTTAATTAGAGGGGGGGAAAATTTCTGCTGCAGCCTTCTGCTTGGCTAAGACCTCACTTTGTTACGTTACTTTTGTCTTGTGTTCTAACAAGCAGAAGTCACCAAGATAACTTAACTGGAGCTATTCCTGTGGGCCCAGAGCCCTCAATTCACAAATGGGGAGGGACAAGAACAGCTTACTAACTCAAAGCACATCAAGCTGTTGAATCTTGCTTGTGACAGCAATTAAGTACATGTTTGTTATCACACATGGAAATGCTCTCTATGCCCATGTCTGTCCTCTTTCATTTGTTACATACACTTGTTTGTCCAGCACTGCAGTGAGTTAGAACACTTCTGTAACTTCCTGTTGTCATAGCAGAACTATCACCTTACCAGCAGCTGCACAAGCAGCAGAAACTTTTTTTTCCCAGGTTTGCACACAACTAAGCAGGACCAGCATCCACTCTTGAATATTAATGAGTGAAATTACTCCCACCAGTGTGCATTACGCCACAGCTGTAAATTGCATCTGTCACCATGCTGCCCTTTCACCTGCCAGTGGCAATCTTTAGCACTTTTTTTTCCTATTCTTAGCACTTCAGGATAGATGTTAGATAGAAACATCAAGATACTCTGTACATACAGGAAGCTAATTAATTAACTTGCAGGACAGCAGTTAACGCCTGCATATAGCAGACAAGTATTGTATTGATGGTCACACAACACAGAAGCTAGTTATTAAATATACAGAAGAACTTGAAGTGCTTCATTCCAAAGTCATCTTTGCAACCGATGTTAAGAGAGGGAAGGCCTGGAAGCAGCCTGCAGAGAAGCCAGCATGCTGAAGACACGTAAGCCAGCCTGAGAACTGTGGTGGATTTCTGCAAACATGTCTTTCTCCCTGGAGCTCAATTACTAGCATTAGAGGACAATGTGGTAGCACATCCTCTTTAATTCAATTCTAACCTTATGATTGCAAAACTAATCCATGCTGTTGGCAATTAGGATTCTAATACAATGATTAAATAATCCCATGCAAAGCAACCTAGCTTCAGGCAGGAAAGATGCTGAGTTACATCCCAGAATATCCCATCCTCTTTCTCGGTAATAGGGGCTGTGAATGCAAGTGCAAAGAGACTTGAAAATAGGGAGGGTTATTTCTGCTGAGTCGCTGTAACTGCTTTGCCATGGAAGTTACTTATTTATTACAAAAATTTCGTGAGTAGGGAGATTCTCAGAGCTCGTCTTTGGCACTTGGCCTCTTTGTTGTAAAGGGAGTCCAAGTAAGAGTAAAGCTGTGCAAAGCTTGCTATTAAGTGATGCAACGTATCACATCCAGCTTCTAAAGGTACTTCTGCTTGTCCCAGCAACTCTTGTCAACGTCAGGGAGGGAACACACTACACAGTGTGGGTGCAGTCACTGCACGAGCCCTTGTTGTTTTAAACAGACAGAAAAAAAGCTCATGGAGTTCAGGATTTTTTGTTTGGAGTTGTTGGTTTTCTTTGGGGTTTTTTTTGGAATGTCGCTGGTGGGAAGCTGGCAAGCGCTCAGGATGGCAGCCCACCCCGGGAAGGGGGGCGGGAGCTGTCCTTGGTCCTGAACCCGCGCCCTGCGCCTGGGCCACCTTCCCCTCCGCGCGCAAGGGTACCTTGTGCCACAGGAGAGAAGGACCAAGGGCGGAGGGGAAACAAAAGTGAGCACGCATTGCCAGCTACCGCATCTTTGCAATGAGGAGAGGTCTGCTGAGACCAGCAGTGGCCGCAAGCTGACTTCTTTCTGTGTGTTTGCACCCACAAGAAGCAGAGTGAAGCTCAGACAGGAAAGGTTCTCTTGAAACACAAGCCATCACTCTATCCCTGTGAATGCCTGTGTCCCCACCAGGTGGGCAGCCTAGCACTGACAGTGGAAGGGCTCTGCATGCAGAGCACATTTCTATCCATGTCAAAAGAGGTAACGTGCACCTATTCCTAGCAGAGGAGGTACCTAACAGATACTGCATATTTGTTTTGTTTGGGGTTTTGTACTTTTTAAAGTGAAACTTGAAGATAGCATTCAAAAGTGCTCACTACACTACCTGCTGTATACTGACAGACCTTCAGGATGCTGTTCTTCACCTACCCAGAAAACAGATTAGCATATTTTCATCTTTAACTTTGGGAAACCCCTGCTACCAAACTGATTCTTTCCTGAAACTCAAGTTATGTCCCACTAAATTATTTATTTTCTAAAAATGATGATGGCACCTTGCCCTACCCCCAGAAACATCTAAATGTATTTTTTGGCAATAATCATATTCTATATCCTTGTAATTTAATCAGTCGATCACTCAGCTCACCCACTCAACAGTAATAAGCCATTGACCCTGTGATTTCAGACTGGATCAATGCAACACTTAAGTTTTGGACCCCTGGAGGCCTTGTGTGCAAATAGGAAAAAAACTCTTAACTTACTTTAGACATGACCAATTTTTCCTCTGATGTGTTCATTACATTAGCAGATTGCTTTCCCTAGAAACCTTTGTCCAGCAGCCTGCAGGCGATGAGCAACACATGCTTAAGTTTCTTGCTGGAGATGGCAAACTTAAGCCACTTGCTTGGGTGTTTAAGGGTTTTCAGGTACATTATACAGCTCATTGTTCTCAGTCTGATTCACCTGCAGAAATCTCAGCTGAATGTGGCCTGACAAGTGGCAGCATAGACACTGCTGCCTACTGTGCCCCCACTGCTGATGCTGTTGGCCGGACACTTCAGAGGTTTCATACTGCTGTCTCTCTGGACATACAAGTGTTCCAATCTCCAGCGCTCCCAGCTTTTCCGAAACTCCATCTGAACCTAACAGAAGCAAAGAAGGAAACAAAAGGAATGAATGTAGAACTAATCAGCTCTTTAAATTACTCCATCAGAAAACAGCAAGGATATCACACTACTGAGAAAAACTGGAAGTGCTTTAAACCTGCAGTACTATTGCTTCCAATTATCCAGTTATCTCATTAATCCACTGTAGGCCATTCCACATTTAAAATAATGATGACATTCATTTTTACTTGTAGAAAAAAAGCTCTTCTATGCACCAGAAAATCTTACCTTCATTATTTTGCTCTAAATTGTATTCACCTGCAATACTGATTGGACTCTATGCCCTACCAGTACTAACAATTAACCTGACTTTGCTTATCAGCCATGAAACAGCTGAAAAGACTGAATTTCTGCTCAATATTGCACCACAGGTATTCTTAAGAGTTCTGAATTCTGGTTTGATTTATACATTATTATGTCCTGGATTATTTTTGTTCTTTGAATACTTATGTGGGATATTTTTATTTCATACAATAATCAAATGTATATTCAGAATTGAAAACAACAATTAAGCAAGTTAGAGACTGTACTTGTTTCCCTTTCAAATAGCAATTGCAGTATCTCATTTCAGACAATAGCTTTTCTTGAAGCTACAAAGTATGCTCATCTAGTCACAGGTTCTGGATCAAACTGTGTAACCTCTGCACAGGTTTGGAAGTTTATCCAGGATTTTCTAACTGCTAAACAAGAACAGAATTAGATCTTCCTGTTCCACAGGCAAAGTTCTTGCCACTTGACTGAAGTAAGAACCTCCATTAGCTTTTAACACATAAGGCAGAGGACATAAAATTTCACACTTGTTACTCTAGATAAAGGCAGGAGTGCAACCACAGTATTAAGTTCATTATGGGGTCTACTTCAGCGTGGAAGTAAGTTCACTGTAGGTGGGTCACTTAAGGGAGCCTTCTCTGGAGAGATGCTTTTTCCTTTATTTTAGGATCTCATACTGAGTACCAAGAGACTAAGTAGGTTGATGGCAGTTTCAGCAGGTTTGTCATCATGCCCAGGCTGTTGAAACCTTCATATTCTGAGGGAAACTTCCTAGGGAACCAGCTGCTGTATGTCTGCTTTCTTTGCTTGTTTATTGTGAAATACTGAATTTGAGAGGCAGTCCTAAAAAAGGAACAAAGCCTTACAAAACTAATTGTCTTCCCCTGGTGGGCGCCTCTATCAGTGCTTGTCAGCCCTTGTATTGAATGTCCTGGTGGAACCAGCTGCATCTCTGTTTCTCACAATCTGTCAGAATCCAGAATCTGACCTCCACTGTAACAACCAAATGGGTCAGAAGGAAAGATGATGAGACAGATGCTTGCATTTTAGCATGGTAAGGGGGTTTGTTGTGTCAAAAGGTGCACAAACACACCAGAAAAAGACAGTGTGTCTGGGATAGCTTGGCACAGAACAATGAGGGAGAATGGTCAGATGAAGGCAGAAATGCAGGAACCAAGTGTCTGCAGGAAAATAATTTACCATATTACCATTCCAGTACTTGGCATCTTTTGTGGTCATGGAAGCATAAGGCAGCACTGGGAAAAAACTGTTGTAGGCATTTACTGGCAAATTCTGAATGAAAGCATGCCTGTAGTGACTGACTAAGTCAATAGCAATAGAAATAGGTACCTTTAGGTCAGTCAAAGGGAAGAAATGAGTCTTTACTCCAGCTGGACACGACAGGCTTGAGCTATGATACAAATACCTTGCAAAACTGAGATAAAGTGAATGGAAGACCTGAACAAAAGACTGTAGGAATGGGTCTATCTTAGCAACAGATATGACTGGCATAACGTCAGTTTTCTCTCCAGGGTTTAGGAAGAGCGTAGGGAGCAGGTCTGCTGCCTGTGTGGAATTGAGTTTTTGCCTAAATGGCTTTGAATGTATAAGCAAGGGAATTGGTTAAGATTTATTTTGCAGAGGCAGTTCCTGAGCACAGAAGCAGATTTACAGATATTTCAGCAAAATACTTACCCTGCTAACTTTCCTGTGTTGATAAGATTCCCCAGAATAAGCTATACAGGAAAATGATACCAAGAACAAAGCTCCTATGATGTGCTGATTTTGGCTGGGGTAGAGTTAGTTTTCTTCACAGCAGCTAGTATGGGGTTGTGTTTTGTATTTGTGCTGGAAACAGTCTTGGTAATATAGAGATGCTTTTGTAATTGCTGAGCAGGGCTTGCACAGTGCCAAGGCCTTTTCAGCTTCTCATCCCACCTTGACAGCAGGAAGGCTGTAGGTGTGCAAGAAGTTGAGAGGACACCTGCCTGCCAGCAGGAAGTAGTAAATTAATTCCACATTTTGCTTTGCTTTACCTATTAAATTGTCTTTATCTTGACCTAGGAGTTTTCTCACTTTTATTCCTTCAATTCTCTTCCCCATCCCACCAAACTGGAGTGAGCGAGTGGCTCATTAACATCCCTTCTATCTTCATTTCTACTACTGATCTGTGCAAAAGGACTTGCAAAGAACTTCCATTCTGTGTGGAACCATCTTCAACTAAGTGGTGGAAAAAGGCAATATCTGTGTGGTTGAAAGTATTTCTTACAGAAAGCAGCACTAACAGCAGAAAAACTGGTCATATTAAGCCTAGCTCATTTTGCAAAGAACATTGGTGGTAATGGGCAATCTCATGAGACCCTACTGTTGGCTTCAGAGCAAGTTCAGAGAAAATCCAGAATCTTTCAGGCAAAGTAAGACTGAAATATGAGCAAATCCTAATTTTTTTTTTTTTTTTCAGAAGTAGATATTAGAAAAGGACATTAAAAACCCTTCTATCTTGCATTTCTACTATTGATCTGTGCACAAGGACTTGCAAAGAACTTTCATTCTGTATGGTTAAAGAAAAAGTAGTCATTGAGTCAGAGACAAAAATAAAATGTAGACCACACTGAAAACAAGGATAGTCTTTGGACACATACAGTGTGTCAGAAGACAGTTTCTCATTTAGCTTAGGAAAAGAATTCTCATCTAGTTTAGAACAGACTTTACTTAACCAAACTCTTTTTAAAGATTTTTTTTATGGACACTGATGACCAGGCTTCACAAAATCCTACTCTTTGAACAAGAATTGGAACAACAAAATAATTAATCCTAGACTGTCAGTGAAGCTGAACTCATCGTGTTTAGATCTTATGAACTACATTACAAAGGCAAGAGAATTATAGTAACAAGAGATTTGGAGCATTTCTTAGAAACACACGTAAGCTATTACACAGTAAGCTCCCTCAAATGAAACAAGGGTGCCTGTTTGAGGGCTTGTAATAAAGTCTGGGTTATGATGTAACTTTGCTGTTATTTCATGTGAAGGAAGTTATTGAGCATTACACATCAGAGGCCTGGCTGCAGCTGCACAAGGGATGCGTGAGCAAACGCCAAAGGTGAATCAAAAGAAACACATGATCCACCAGCAGACGGTGCTGCATCTCAGGATTGAAGTACACCTGTAAAGCCATACCAGGAATTTGAAACAAATATTCTCTAATTCATGACACGCAGCAAATGACATTCATTCCCAACAGCGACGCCTGCTGCTACTCACCTCTGATTTTGGTAAGCAGTACAATTAATAGATTCACTTCAATAAAATCTTAACCACAACCTACAAAAATGAGCAGTCTCCTGCAAGGCTTAATTCAGGATGCCTGCTGCTTTCCTGTTGACTCCAGCATGGCCATAATGATAGAAGTAGCACATTTTTCTACTGATTCCAATTCCTTGATGAGGCCTCTCTCTCAATAAGTGATCTTGAATTACCATGTCATAGTTAAAAGTAGATTTATTGTGAGTGTTAAAAATATTGACGTGCATTTAATTTAATAATGTAGTGACTAAATGAGTAGTGTTTGCTTCCCTTACAAACCTAGCTGCTGAATAAATGAATAATAATCACTTAGAAGGTAACACGAGAGATTCCTGCAATACTGAAACAGAACAATACCCTTTCCCACTACAGGGCTGGGATTCAGCAGAAGCCACAGAAGATGGTACTTGCAATCAATTAACTCAAAGCCAAAGGTACACTTCTTCTGGGTCTGTGAGTTAACCACTCAGTGAAGTTCAGTTTTAATGAGAAAGTGACAATGCATTCAAGCAGCTGGGCCACAGGGAAACCAAATGAAACCAAACTGTACAAGAATAGCCATGAGGATTCGCCAACTTCACCAGCAAGCTGAGCTGAGTTCATAGAATAAAATGGGCTCCACTCCCACATTCACAAAAACAAGCAAATAAAAAGCAAGTAAAAGCAAAACAAGCAAATTAAGTAAAAAAATATTAAGAAGAGCAGCTGTAATTCTTAATTAAAGAATCCACCAGTGCAAACTACACAACTGTAAAAAAGACTGTTTGTGACATTCCATGTCTACAAATAGTGACTGTAAATTATACTGCCTGAATTCCTTCCAAACACATTTGTCTGATGAGTTATCCCACAGAGCTGTGCAGGGAAGGTTCTGTAAAAAAAAAAAAAAAGTCCTGAACAAGGACAATTTAGCAGTTCAAGACCATTTTCAATTTCCTTTTCCTGTAGTGTATGCTGATAAGGCAAATTGGAAGAAAATAGTATCTCTCTTACCTCATTATTGATGAAACAGTAAAGAATTGCAACCATCAGCCCCTGAAATCAATAAAAACCAGAATAGTGAGCAGAGCAGTTTCCTCACTTTGCCAAACTCAGCTGTAAAGGGCTAGAGGTTCCACACTGACATGTCTCTGATAAAGACTGAAAAGTGGAAAATCCTTGGTCCCTGTCAACTCTGACGGCAGATCAGAGGTTTGATCAAACTATGTCTCAAAGCACACGATCTTAGGAAAAAGGAGTTGTTTTCTTCATCTGTTATTTTTGTGTAGTGATTTCTTTCCCCTTCTTCCTTACAAAGCAAACGTTTCAAGTCTTAAACACTTCGTGAGTAATTCACAATGGCCTTAAATACAGCTCTGTGTATGATAAACAGGGAATGACTGAGTGTGCAGGGAAATAGAATAATTATTTCCTTGCACAAGGATACTAATTTGAAATGGCCTTACCTAAGGCAACAATTAAATACAAATCACAAAAAGCCTATGCCCTTGTCACATGCAGTTATAGCTGGAGACAACTACCTCTCCCAGGAGAGATTTTCCAAGGAGTATCAGAAACACTGGAGAAAGCACAAACACAAAATGTGCTTTCAGCAATGCCACTGTACAATTACAGGAAATCACAGACAATTTTGTTATTGCCCTGAGGTGAACCATAGGAAGTAAATATTAATATGTGGACAGGAATACCAGCTTATTGTAGTAAAGTTGGTTGTTAAAAATTAGTCCTTACACTTTCCTTTCCATTGTCATAATCCTATAACATCCAGTGTTAAACTGAGAAATATAACAAACGTAAGCATGCAATAAATGAAAGAGAAAGCAGGTCCTCAAATAGCAGTTAAAAAATATCTTATGCCCATGGGCACACTGTGAGTGCTACCTGGAACGAAGCAAAGGAGAGCTCAGTAAAAAGCTTCACAAAGCGCAGCATCCCTCTGGCATGCTCGTCAGTAATAAAGGCAAAAATGACCTCATGGGTCCCCAGCAGTGGGATCAGAGTCAGCGTGGACTTGGCCAACCTAAGTTCACAAAGAAATTAAAAATCCATCAGTGCCACTGAATAGACCATTGTTGACCCAAATGATCACTGGGAGTCACCCTTTCTGCATTCTGTTTCGGACACAGTTTCAACTTTCTTAAGTCACTGCACCACTTTGTGATGCAGGTCCTCTTCCAGAGGCTGCAGGATTAAAACCTCCTCAAAATAACCTGAGTAAGATTCTACAAGTTCTAACCTCCCCTACCACTTCACTGCAGACCATTTATTGGTGACAGCAAAGCTCTGTATCCAACTACCGGCTGTATTTCACCTGGAAAATCTTCCAAACGCAGTAAGAAGCCATGTGCTTTCTTGTACCTGTGGTGTCTCTCCTCTGTATTCTTTTCTCCACCTATAATTGGGAAAGACAACCAAAACCTACCTACCTTCTTCATGACATAAAACACATAGTCTATGAATAACTGGAATATTTTAAAAATATCTTGGCAAAGGGAGGAGTACTTGGTATTCCTTCCCACCTCTGTGGTGTGTTAAATCTTCTAAACATTGTAACAATCTGTAACCGCAGAACACTTTGTCAAAGCAATCAAACTGTCTTAAAATGAGTGATGGCAAGTTCAAAGACACAGCTAGCAAAGGCTGAAAGACAAACTAATCTGAAAGAAATGATTCTTCACCTGTGAGAGAGTTCAAGATACATAACCACTGGAAAAAATTCACAAGAATGATCCTTAACTCTCTTTTGATGGACATACATGCCAGCCACCCAACAGGATAGTAGAAAGATGCCTAGGGATCTTGTGGGAGCTTCCTGGGCCACAAAACTCACCAACATCTCACAACAACCTGTCTTGAGACAAGTCAGTAGATGCGAAATCACTCAGTTAGCAGGGCTGTCAGACCTTTGTAGCTGTTGTGTGCCTGAGGGCTATTGGCTATTATTCTGAATCATGTAACCATTCAGGCTGGAAGACACCTCTGGAAGTCTCTAGCCCAACTCCACAGCAGGTTACTCAAGGCTGTGTCCAGCCAAGTTTTGAGTATCTCTAAGGTCCTCCAAAGCTCCTCTGGGCCTCTTTTTCAGCATCAGACCACTGTGAATTTCTTTCACCTGACATGCAAGGTGAATTTCTCTTGCTATCACTTGTGACCTTTGGCCTTGTTCTTTCACTGTGACCCTCTGAAAATACTCCATTTTCTGTACAAGTGGGCTTGGAATCAAAGCCTCCAGCTCAGACAAGTCCCCATCCTTCCTTTGAACTCTCAAGACAATAGAATTTCCAAAATTTCATGTGAGGAAAAGAAGGTAGGTAACATACATGGCAACTCTACACTGATAAGAAATCACCAAAATATATGCTGTTTAGAAGACTGCTGTATTGAAATACCCAATGTAAAATAGCTAAGTCCAGTGACAGCAGCAGTCCAGCTACCACAGCATGTAGCTCCACACTTCAAGAGCTAACTTGTTATTCTTACATTGTTTTTCAGACTGCAATACAAAAGTCAAGATGGAGAAATGAAGGATGCAACCATGAATCTTAGCAAGGGGATTAAGTAACAGGGAGAATACAGACAGGGACAGACTGACTACAAAGCAAAACTGAATGTATCTGTGGTAGCCTCAACATTTCTCTTGAAACATCTCATGCATTCAAGATTGAAAGTTTTCCCAATAACAAGTGGCAAGAAGAACAAGGAGCAAAACTCAAAATTATCCCATTTTGTCTTACTTGAAGTGAAAGCTTTTATTTCTGTCAACTCATATTTTTATGTTCAAATTAGAATAAGATAGGATATTTCAGCTGGGAGGAACCTATGACAACCACCTGTTCAGAACTTAAAGCAAGTTCTTAAGGGCACTGTCCAAATGCCTCTTAAGCACTGACAGGCTTGGGGCATTGACCACCTCTCTAGGAACCCTGTTCCAGGGTTTGACCATACTCTCAGTAAAGAAATGTTTCCTCATGTCAACTCTGAACCTCTCTTGGTGCAGCTGTGAACCATTCCCACACCTCCTATCAGTGCATACCCTGGAGAAGAGAGCCCAGCACCTCCCTCTCTACTTCGACTCCTCAGAGGGCTGTAGAAGGGAACGAGGTCATCCCTCAGAGCCCTTTGCTTCCAACTAGGTAAGTCAGAAGTCCTCAGTCACTCCTCACAGGACATTCCTTCCGGCCCTTACACCAGCTTTGCTGCCCTCCTCTGGGTGATTTCAAGGAATCTTAACATTCAGTACTTGCATGTGCTGCAGGTATTTTAAAAATAAATGCTTACTTAATATTCATCCAGTCTAATAGGAGACTGTAGAGCAACAGTCATCTAGCCTTCTGTTTATAGCACAGGTGAAATACCTGCCCTGGTTTCCCTGAGACTTTTCTGTGGACTGACTGTCCAAGCAGTTACACCAATGTGTGACACCATACCTGTTCTGTACCCTTACTCAAGGGCTGTGGTCTTTAACCACCTTTGTCAACCCACTCCTTTCACATATGTCCTTGTCTGCTTCTATTCTGATGAGCACGAAAAGCATCAGACCACCTTAGACATACCTGCATTTTATGTCAGTTTTGCACATCAAATTAGCCTGCAGTTTGGAGATGATGATACATATAACTCTGATGAAGATGAGGAAATTCACCTGGAGAAATGAAAGAAGAATTTGTATCACCATCAATAAACCCATATGCATAAGTACTCAAAAGGCTGGTTTGTGTATGCATGTGTGCATCCTGCTATGAAGCAGCTGCAGAATTTGACACAGAGTTCAACTCCTTCCTAAGGAATTGTGGTCTAACTGTGAATGCACCAAGCCACCCTTGAAAACACAGGCACTTCATTACACAAAGCAGGGGACCCCAGTTACTCTCTGGGGAGCGAGACACAGTAAAGGTGTGGGTTGGCCCATTTGCCTTGTCTGGAGGTGAGTCTGACACAGTGTTGCAGTATTGTACCTGCAGAGCATTTCTACACAATGCCACACATTTTGCAGCTCTTTTATAGCCCAGTATGTGAAATAGTATCTCTGGTCTCCCTGAACTACCTTCCATACCTCCTGCTCACAGGGGAGTTAATGGGACTGCTGCAGCATGCTGTTCTGTTATCATGTCCTGCCACTACAACACAACAGCTTGTGGCCAAATTAAAGAAACAAAATGCTAGTCTGGAGTTTCAGTGACAGAAACCAACTTGGCTTAATAAAATCACATTTCTGAATGAAAATGTCAATAGCCTCAAAGGTTATTAGCCTTTGGACATGCACAGTGGCCACATGTGCATCTTTGTACCATATTGTGCTGTTCTCAGGGAAATCTGCCATCTCACAACACCCATCTCAGACTCACCCCGATAGCAATGAGAATGGGCAGTCTGATGATCAGCCAGTAATTCATGTTGTAGTTTCTGGTCCAGCAACTAATAGGAGGACAAAAAGGAGATGGAAAAGTTTCAGTACATTACTAAAATCTCTTGCTTTTCATTCTGTTCCAGCAATGCAGATGGAAAACAATATTAAGGACTAGATACCAGGAAAGCACATCATGCTGACATGGAAACAGATGCAGCTGCTTCTGAGAAACACTGAATGCTTTGTACTATTACAGCTATCATAATCCAACTGGATACTACTCACCAGCCTTTCTTGCCCACTAATGGCTAGCTCTCCTCCACAATTTGCTATGAATTATCATCCATTAATTGTGAAGATTTACTCCATTAAAATCAAGGTCAAATTTGTCATTTGTTTGAAAGAAGAAGGGGGGGAAAACTATTTGAGTCTGATCTTTCTGCTGTCATTCTTAGCTTCCTCATCCTGCACTATTTTTTATTATTCTTCAGTCTCCAATGTCAGATCATCTTATTTAATTGCTTGTTAGTTTTTATCCCATTACTTACCATCATTATTGTCATAACAATATTGAGATTAGTCATCTATTTTATCTGTCCTTATTTTCAAAAAAGGAGTTACTAATTTCAGCCATGGGAAAGCAATTGCAGCTACAAACTCCAGCTCCTTCGGTGCATTTGTACAAGGTTTCAGGCCCACTGGGAGTTTTAAAAATTATAAACAAGTAAAATCAAAAGTGGAAGCAACAATTCCTAACTTTTGCTGACCTGAGCCCTCTGCCAAGTAAGTAGCATGCAGCAGCAGTATAATATTTCATTTACTGCATGAGTCTCATTTTAGCTTTCAAAACTCCTGTCACTTTGAGCAATATGAGTGAAAAATGACAAGAAAAGTCATGGCAGCCACAGTTTGGGATCACTGGTCTGAAGCGACCTTAAACTGAGGGTTTGTACATCTAGTTCCTTTCCTCTGGCCACAGCCAGCCACCACCACTGCTTGATGGGCCATGTCTGTGTAGGCTGGCCCAGGTGTTAGGGCAGTGCTCATGTGCCGCTTTGCTTGTTGCTGCAGTGACAGCATTCTTAATATTTCTGTGAAATAACTTCGTTAGCCTCCTGCTCAGCATTACTCAGAAGCAAAAGACACCAGTAAAGCCAGCAGGTTTCTGAGCTACACAGGCTGGGAAACAAACTAGGAAACAGCATTACATAAAACATAGATTCGTTCCCAAAAAAGGTTTCTCTTTATCTCCAAAACACACATATGCACAATTTTCCCTAAGGCTTTTCAACAGACCTAAGAAAGTTCAGCTCTGGTGGAGCTGAAACCCTCCTCAGCCTTGTAGTGGGACAGTCTAAGAGAAAAGAGCAAACCATGCAGCACCTGGGAGGGATCCATGCTACAAGCACACAGCGCACTTACTAGGGAGGAAAGCACAGCAGCTTGGCTGTGGCAATTCCACATTTCCTTGCAGGGACTGCAAGTCTGAAAAGGACTCGGGATACTGTTTTTCCTTCAATTTCAGTTTAATGTGGACAAAAAGCATATTATTGCCACCAGCATCTCTACAGCTTCCAATTCAATTGCATTTTGGGTATTGGACAAAAAAGGTGTGCAGACTGTATGCAGTCAGTGTACCTGAGCCAGAATCTCACTTACAGAACTTCTTAATTGGTACACGTGAGTGGGAGTCAGCTTCATAGAGCCTTTGAAATTAATTTTATTTGAACACCTCAAGACTGATGAGATAACAGGCATAGCTGGAAGTGGAGTTCTAATTTTCTCACTAGCTCCAGTAGATGCAGAGGTAATTAAAAAAAAATTGTTTATAATAACAGAGGATGAAAAACAATTCTTTACATTAACTCTGCTACATTTCTGAGTTAATTTGCTTCCTGTGGTGCACACCAATTTTAGCTACCTTTAAATTTATACAAGTATGTGCAATAAAAAAACCATTACAGGTCAATTAAGGTGTCATGGCTATTAAAACATCTAGAAAATAAAAATGGTAGATCTCTACATGATTTTTTGCCCATCTGTGCCTTCTGTGATTGCCACATTGATAAATACACCAATATCTAATGTGCATGGGATCTATCCCTACAGTTTGCTCAACACCTCTCAGAAGATGCTTGGCAACTAATAGCCTCAGACCCATGAATGGAGAATTTGTCCAGCGAAAAAAATGCTAGTGGGATGTTTCTGCCTTTGCTTACCAATCCAGTATTCTCCTTCTAGAAGTGAAAACACTGAATTTTTACCTTGAATTGCTAAAGGTGAATGGAAAAAAAAAATGATTGAAGGCTGACTGTTTTGCTCCCGTACTTAACTGCAGACAGAAGCAAAACTGTGTAAGTATCAGCTTTTTAGGCACAGTCTAATAACTAAGAACAACAGCTTGCCCTTAACTGTATTTGTAATCTAGACAAAATATTTTTGAATAGCTCACTTTTTAAAACACTAATTGTGTTCTAAAGGAGTTTATACTTGCACATGTAAAGAAAGAAGAAGCCAGTGTGCAACCAACCAAGTCTTGAAGGATTCAGTCCTTTACTCAAATGGATACATTCACAGCATTGCCTCAGATTCCTAGCCCTGACCACGTTTATTTCCAGTTATTCTTCATAGCCAGGGAAGTAGTTAAATCACAAATGAAATTTACAGCCCGCTGCATGGTGACAGAGCTATGGCAAACAGCATGAAAGATATCCCTGGCTACTCCAGCAAATGCCTGCCTAAGGCACAGAAATCTTGCCTTTCAGAGCAGCTGCTGCACATAGTTATTTATTGCTGTATTTTACAAATATTTAGACAAGATTTAGAAAATTCAATAATGTGCAAAATTACCCCTTTTAAGCTCTGCTGAAGGCAGTGAGTGACAGTTTTCCTTAATAGAAAATATAAATCAGCTCTGAGCACCACATAATGTGGGAGGCTCAGCATGAGCACTTTGAATACATTTTCTACATCAATGGGAAGACATGCCCATGGAAAATCACCTGTTCAGAGGCTGCACGGTCTCCACACCTATTCTGATAATTTCAACAAAACCTGCAGTACATCAGTGCAGCCACAATCTTGCTACAGAATATCATCACGTCAACATTGAAAAGGAAAGTAAAAAAATCCTAACATTGCTTAAGCCAGAAAAGGCAGATTTGACGGAACTGGTTCAGTGCAATGAGGAACACAAAAAACAAACAAACAAACAAAAAAAAAAAAAAAAAAAAAAAAAAAAAAAAAAAAAAGGATCCTCTACAAAAGGGTTGGCTGAGTAGTTTGGAAACTAAGTAAGAGGAAAACCCATTAAATAAAAAAAAAATTAAAATAAAAATGAAAGCGCATAGATTTATTTCTTTTCACAAAGAAAACTACCCAAACATTTCTAGGCAGCTACTATCTCTAAAAAGAAGAAGCCACTTTCCTCCCTTAAAACAAACAAACAAAACACCAACAAGCTAAGTGCTATTTGTAAAATAGCTATTTATAAAGCATATACAAAGATATTTTTTTCCAGAACAGCCATCATGGTAAAAATGCACAAAAAGTATTTTGTGTTTTACAGCAGTCTTGCGCGTGCCATAGTTGACTTCAGCAAGACTAACATAAGCAGACAGAGAATGTGCCTTTATTTTAGGAAAACCTAAATAATGGGAGCTTAAACAAGAAAAGGCAATCACTTCTCTGCTGCTAGGCATAGGCTAATCTCTACAAATTGCAGGCAGAATACTGTGGGAGGTTGCTGTCTTCTTCCAAAACAACTGTAAAGGCTACTGCCAAAGGCACAGCATCAGGAGTGGTCCTGGTTGGGTAGGACAACTGCTATTGTTGATACTGTAAGTACAGAAAAACAAAACATACCTTTCCTTGACCTGAAAAAGAATAGATTTATTCAGACATGCAGAAAATTCTGATCAGAAAAAAGCATATTCTCCTTTCGGAAATGTTATGCAAGACCTTCAGACAAAACAGAAGCAATTATGTGAGGTTTCAGCACATTGCCAAAGCAAACCACGCTGAACAGAAAGCAAACAGTGACCTGCTGGTGCACACATACAGCACAAATGAGATAGCCATAAAAATCAGAACTAAACCAACCCCTCATCTTCATAAAGGTACTTGACAGTTCCCCAGAGGATAACAAACAGCATTGGTACACCTGAAAAGAGAGGAGACAAGGCTGACATTGAGACTGGGAAAAGCAGAGAGAAGGACAATTCCCTCTGCCTCCCCCCATAATGATGAGCAACATAATTAACTGGTGTCAGGGTTGCAGCTCCTATCCAATACAGATTGCCATGAACAGTGGGCTCCCACCTAGCTCTCAACAGGCACAAAAAATGAACAACATAGATGTCCCATAACAGGCATTCACCACTTCTTCAGTGGACATTTTCAAAAACAAGCCAAGGGAATTAAATTTTTGGAAGCTCTACTAGCCTCTGTACTCATGCTAGAGAAGGGTGCAGTGTGCTTTGACCAAAACCTTTGTGTCTAAATTTGTGCTTGTGGGTGACTGTATTCAAGCAGGACCAAGTTCAGGCTGCCCACCGGTGTCGAGGCTGGAGCACGCCCAGCCCCACATGCCCCCCATGGCAGAGGGAGGGCGGGCACACCCAGCAAGTGTCCTCCCCACAGAGAAGTCCCAGTTCTGCTGTGGTACTGGTGTGGATTTGAGTGGCTGCAGCAAAGACAGCAGAGGAAGCTGGCAGTGAGAAAAGGCTTGGCCCTGCACTCACCAGACAGCGCATGGGTACACCTCATCAGCTCATCTGGGATGGAAAGGGCAGAGACAAGCCAAGGAGGCTGGCACTCATTACCTGCTTTACACTATCAAAGGCTCTCTAATTAACTTATTTCATTTATGAAGAGCCTAGGTCATTAAAAATAATTTCAAAGTGCACCTACCAACCAATACTTAATACAGAGAATGATAAAAATGCACACAAGGAAAGAAAGCAGGTTGTGACTCAAAAGGCAGGATGAGGAATTTCTGCTTCAGGATAGACCAAGATGGTCTAACTCCTCCTTGCACAATGTCTGATGCTGCATGTGCATTGTATAGAAAGAGCAGCATTTAGCACACTTTGTTACTTTATTCTTAAGAACCAGTAATGTCAGGTACCATAAGAACATCAGGCTGCAGCAGTAAGTTCTGCACGGGGCAAATCCACAGTTCGTGGCAGCAGAAGTCATAGGAAAATTGGTCATCCCCCACAGTCTGAATACCTCAAGCAATATATTTATTGGGTATTATCAGTAAAAAACCTTCACTTTTGTTGTACTGTAGAATTTCTCTGCTATCAGAACAGCTAAATACCACAGACACAGAATAATAATATTCTCCTTAATCAGTTATTTAAAGAAACAAAAAGAGAGAGCTCAAAGAGCAGCATAGAGAAAAATACCAATAATTAGAATAATAGCAAAGATAATGAATTGAGTAGAGATTATCTGGGCAACTAGCTACTGTGTTCCATGGATTTACTTGATATTGAGAATACACAGTACTTTGGGAGCAAAGTTACCGAAAACAACTCTATGGTGCCTTGATAGTCGTATAAAGAAATTAAAAACAGGCTCACTGCACATCACTTCCAAACCAAATGAGACTTTGATTCGCAGAAACAAATTATAGTTTGAATGACTCCTTTCTTGACTTTGCTGGGCATTAAGACATCTTAGTATGAAAACAACAGGATAAGACTCAAACACTGAGACACAAAGCGGATATATAATTTGACACATCAAGTGATAACAATAATGATGGGTATCTCAGTCTTCTGGATACATCAGAAATCTCTCCATGTTTAATCAAATCACTTGACATTTGCATTGAGAAGCTATTATTAATACTGTATTTCAAAAGAGCCTAACTAGAGGGAGGCTGATATAACAGAATTGCATCAGCTATGCAAATATTATACAAATTAATAGGCAGCAAGTATAAAGCAACTTGTTCAACATTCTCTGCCCACTCCCACTTGTGATGCACACCACTGGTGTCTTGGTATTGCAGCACCGTCAGTCACACTATTTTCCATGCTGGCAATGCACATTTTAGTCTGAGACACCAAGACTTACCAGTGCACACATGAATTTGCACTGATTTTAAAACCTTACTGCATGGATAGTACCTGACATCTACCAAATTCACAAAGCCTTGTCCTGAGAAATGGATTGCTCTGGAAACTGTCATGGACACAGTCTCAGCAGATGGGAACACATGCAGTTTTCCAAAGCCCTAGTGAAGATCTAAAGAGGGGACTGTCCCAAGAATATTCCCTAATTCACTTCAAGCCTGTAGGAGTCATTCCATCACAGCAAAAGAGCAAATCTGAAGCATCTCTGCAATAGCTGCAGTTTGCAAGGATCACTGAGACTCTAGTTAGCCTGCATTAACTGGCAAAAAAACATATATTATTCTGGTTACAGTCAAGAGAATTCTGTCTGGTTTGAGCACGCATTGGAAGTAAACCAAATACAACTCACTGAATAAACACCACAGATGACTATGTTACATTAACAGCATCAGTGGTGTATTCCACCCCTGGGCTTCAACATAACACTTGAGGCATTTGAGTTTCAGTCTCACACTTCTTTCTCCTGCTGCTGCTATTCACAGTATATCAGATACCCAAGAAAAAAACTGCATTCATTTTCAGTAGGCATTTATTTAAGGTGTTGGCTAAACTCTTCCTGGTTTTGCTTTTTTGTCATACAGAAAGCTCTGAGATGGATCTTTTCTGAGATTAACTGACCAGAGAAAAGTCTCCAAATTCTGGACATGGTAATGTCTACTTTTTCTTCCATACTGCATCACTGCTGAAGATGCCAGAAACTGCAACAGCCTGATCATGATAAACTCTGCGACCTTAATTCTTGCAGGTTGATAGCTGACCCAAAATCTTTGAACATTACATTGTGATTATGAAATCTGTCAAGTCTGCTAGAAAATAAGCCTGCTGACAGCTCAGCTAATAAAGTTCAACTTCAAGTGACTGGGCATCTGAATTATAGGCTGCAATAATAATATATATTATGGATGATGAGAAAGTAATGCAACTGCCAAATCATCATCTCAACATCCCACTGCATAAATAAGCAGCACAACCTACTTAGTTCCATTCTAGCTTATATATTCTACACCAGGACAGGTGCCTGCCATAGTAAGAAAAACAACGACAACAACAAAAAAGTTGGACAAGCAGTCATTTTTCAGAATGTCAAAAGGAAGGAGTAGGTAAGAGAAGAAAATGTTGAGAAAAATCTGCACAGGTTGACATTTTTAGAATGCTCCACTATCCTTAATGAGAGGGGAAATAAATTCCTGCAGCTGCTAATGGAAGCCTCCATGTCCTGACGACAGCACGCAAAAATCAGACTATTCATTTAACAGGTCTGAGATATTTTACCAAGAGAGGTGTCACCAGGTGGTGCTATTCCATGCCATCATCTCTCCCTTACCTCCACGTGCAAGCAAGTTTCCATTCTTACACACACCGTATTTGTAGCTTTGTGTTGTACCTCACTTTACATGGAGGCAATTTCAGAAAAGACATATGAGGAGCAAGGAGGCTCCCCTCATCCTCACGTGCTGATTAGAGATTCTTCCTGAAGTAGATTTGTCTCTGAAGGACCAGAGCACTGCCATCCTGTCGAAACCCTTAAAGATGGACATACTCTTGATACAGCATTGTAGGGCTGTTTTCACTATTTTAGCCATAACCTGACATCCCTTGTTTCCATGTGTGACAAGTTCAACCTCTGAGAAAATCAGGCACATAAACCAGAAGGACACTACTGCTGTCAGAACAAGTCCATTATTCTTTCTCTCAGAAAGCATCCAAGATGCTCTGATTTGATCAACCGATTGATGAAGGAATGCAAGAATGATGCCATGAGGAACTGAAAGATATTATAAACAAATATGACTACATGTAAAAAGAGTAAAAGCACTGATGACCTGAGAAGATTATTTTTTTTTCTTCCTAAAAAAGGAAAAACAGAAAAAAGTTTAATTTAGAAAACAGAGAGTGAAGAGGAATTCCATGCATTTCTTACCAAGATAAGTCTGGACACAAAATCTATTTTTACATCCCTAACTGAAGCAGAGTTTTCATTTGAAAATAGAAAAGAAGTGTTCAGTGCAATTAATGCATCCTGTTGCTACAGTGAGTTCATACTGGGCTTCTGAAGGAAGGTATCTTACTGGCTCTGTTCCAGTCATATATTCCTTGCAATTGGGATGTAGATTTTGATGCCCCAGCCAGGCTTCCTGCTTTTAATAGCTTCATTCCTCAAAGTATTCTTCCTTAGAGCAAGTTTGGATTGCCAAGGCTTGGAAGGAAGCAGATTATTTATTTTTTATGGTGATTTTGCTGCTGCAAGTGCAACTGGATGTAAAATTACCATAGAAGATCAGAGAATATTTAGCTGTTTATTAACATTTTCTTCTTGGCCTTTAGTGCTGAAAATGGTCTCCTGTCTGGATGTCACTCAGAGTCACAGTGGGATGTTTCTGTTGTTTTCCATTCTTCCCTCTTCTTTGCTCTTAAATGTGAACAGGTCCCTTTTCCACTAAAACTGGTGATACAGCAGCTTTACAGTATAAACTGTTCTTCTCCAGAGACTACTCAGTACAGTACTGACAGCTGAAAGTCAGTGTCAGGCTCAGCAACTCCTGCCTTGGGCTCAGACCTGATGAACACTGGGTTGGTGTCCTGATTCAGACCAGTCTGCACATACTGAGAAACAAACAAAACAAAAAAAAGTAATGATCTTGATCTCTGTAGTTAGGTTGGGGTTTTTTTTCCACCTCTTTCTTGTAAATGTTTTTTCTTCTCTCTAGAAAGTGAGATCCATGGGAAAGAATTTCTCAAGGAAGCACCAGGTACCAGCAGAGCATAGCAACAGGTTTTCTTTTCTGCAAGTGCAAATGACTATGTGAATCAACAGCTGCTGTAGCTGCTGTTCTGCTGACCCCCAGAGTGAAGGAAACCTCTCACCTACCTGCTCTTCCCTTGGCCTATAAAAATTTTGGGGTTTTGATACTGCAAAGTGTTTCTAACTTCTTTTTCTCCATCAGCATTGAAAATAGACTATACAATTGCTTTTGCAGTAAGATATGTGGAACTTCAGGTTGACATAAATGTATGGAAGTCTGCTTTGACAAAGAAATAGAAGTCATAAGCAAGACATATTCCACATTAAATGAAAAAAGAAAAATTTAACACTGCCATCTCAAAGCCTAGTATGAAACCTCATACAACCCTAGACATGAAACCTCAGCAATGAAGTGGCCATTAGGAATACAGTTACCTCACAAGTAATAGGGAAGGTTTATAAAATTCTGTCAGTATACATGATGTTAGTATAAATGACTCCCAGTTTCTGAAACTACATTAGTTTTCATAGGTCTATCAAGGTTTTATGACTTTTCTATGTTTTTGAAGTACAGCGATGCAAGACAGACTTTTCCCTTTATAAATACTTTAACAGCAAAGAATAATTAGTCATTTGAACTGATAATAAATGCACTACTGTCTAATAACTGACTTTAGAACTGACCTGGTATTATCATATTACAAAAATTGGAATATCTTGGAACAACTGGTCTGCTAAGGGCTGAATCTGACAGAGAAGGGAAGGAAAATCTTTAGTAATAGGCTTGCCAAGCCTGGGAAGAGGCTTTAAACTGAAGTTACTGGGGAATGGGATCCTTAATCCATCCCACTCCCACCAACAGGATGCCAGTGCCAGTACCTGCAGGGCTATGATCTCACTGGCATCACAGAGACATGCTGGGATGGCTCCTCACTGGAGTCTTGGAACAGAATGCCACAGGCTCTTCAGGAAGGCCAGGCAGGAGAGAGCAGGAGGGGATGTCACCACATCAATGGCACCTAGAGTGCATGGAGTTCCACCTGGGGACAGGTGAGGAGCTGGTGAGGAGCTTATGGGTGAGGTTCAAGGGAGGACAGGGACAAGTGACATTGCAGGGGAGCATGCTGTAGGCTGTCTGGCCAGGAAGCCCTTCTGTAAACAGACAGGAGCAGCCTTGCAGTCACAAACCCTGGTTTGTGGGGGACTTCAACTACTGGAGGGATAGCACAGCAGAGTATAAGCAATCCAGGAGTTTCCCGGATCACGCTGATAAATTCCTTCTCCAAGTGACAGAGGAGCCAATGAGGAGAGGTACCATGCTGGACCTTGCTCTCAGCAACAAGGAGGAGCTAGTGGGGAACGTGAAGCTCAAGGGCAGCCTTGGCTGCAATGACCATGAAATGGTGGAATTCAAGGACCTTAGGGAAGTGAGGAGGGTGTACATCAAGCTCAGTACCCTGGGCTCCAGGAGAGCAGACTCCAGCATGTCTGAGAGTGATCACCATCTTCAGTTACAATTGTTAAGAAATAACAACATGAAGTGACTATGTTTTGAGCAATACAAACATGAAATTTTCATACACAAATATTAATCAAATGATAAGGAATGAAGAAGTTAAAAAGCTATCCTGTAAGAGGACAATTCATTAATGGAACAAAGGGTCAGAGTATCAAATTAGCTCTGGCAAATAAATATTTATTTTTTGTTCCAGCTTTATTTTTGCAGTTGATTATTTCAAAGAGCAGCACAACAGTTCAAACAGGAACCTACTGTCTCTTCTCTGAAGCCTCAGCATTACACTGAGGTATCATGCAGCTCAAAACTCAAGTTAAAGAAAAATCTTCTGAGCGTTGCATAGAGCAGAAAGTCACCCAGTGAGTGACTTTTTTTGAGCAGCAAAAAATGGAATCAACAATGAAGAAGCAGAAAGAATGGGGAAAATTTTGGTATCTTTCCATGGTTAGAGATGAAATTGTTATCTGGTATAACTAAACTGGGAGCACTGAAATAGCAGATGCTTCTGCATTTGGAGGTGGAGAATCACTGGCAAGGTTTGCACACGCAGACACATATGGAAGAGCAAGAAACTGAAGATAACGACTGAAGATAACAACTGAATGGCATGGACAGAGCTTTTCTACAAAGCTTGGATGAAACCCATGCATCTAGTGCCAAGTTCTTGCATTGCTGCTCATTTCCACAAACTCATCTAGAAATTCGATATACAATAGCAAAACCACCTTTGTAAAGAAAGAACAAAACCAAAATAACATCATCTGTTTCTGCCTTCTGCATTTGCAGGAGACAAACTCTAAATAGAAGTGATTCAGACCAAAAGCAGCCTAACCCTTTCTTTTAAGTCAACACAGTCCCCTTAGGATTTGACTAGATATAATTTTGTTCTAATTTCTTTTCCATTTCCTTTCATGACCTCAGTCAGTGCTTCAGGATAGCTCCCCCTCCCCCGTTTGTTTAAATTAAATTGAGGGTCTAATTAAAACATATAGTTCAAATGTTAAACAAAAAGGTGCTGCTTTTGCTGCATGCCTGACATGAAAGAATATGGAAGATGGAGAACTTCAAATAAAACTCTCCTGCAGGAAACTCCTATTATTTGCATTTATTTATTCCTATCAATGACAGAAAACCTTTTCTCCTTATACATCAAGTTATTGTAGAATTGGGTAATTCACAATAACATGCCATTTATATGCATTTTTCCAGTGAACTAATTTGCTAAAATATTCACAATTGAAATCCATAGAGAGAGGAGGAGAGTCAAAGCAATTGAAATGTTCAAACTAGCATCTGTGAAAGCACTTGTAGTATTTACTTGGATTTACTTTCATCTTTTCAAAAGTGGCATGATTCCACCAAAAGGGGAGGGTAGAAAAGAGGGAGGGAGAGAATGCAATAAAAGTACATGCAAGATCACTCTAAAAATAGGATTAATCCCAAACTGTAATTTATTTCCAGGTGAACTATATGGTGAAAGAATCAAAGCTTTACCTTTCTACAGAAGGTGACCCTTTCTAAAGAAGGTGAGCATTAATCAGCTGATTTCAAGGCATCACAACCCTTGACTTCAAGCACACACATGCCCATGGCACATGCACCCCCGACCCTTTTTTCCCCAGACAATCCCTCTCTGACCTGCTCTGCCCACTTAGCCCACCTGACACCACCCTGCCCCTTTGCATCACCCCCTCCCATGCTGTCACCATTTCTCTACTGTTGTCCTCACCCAGATGCAAAGCATCTTTGCTATTTTACACCACAAGCAGTTCACATACAGCCTTTCTTTAAAGACTGTTCACACACAGTCTTTAAATGCAATGGGAAACGTTCAGAAGATGAAGCAGGACAGTCCAAAAAAGTCCACATCCAGCTGGAACCACCCACACATAATCTGTCCTGGGAAGCTAATGTCCTGAAGGAAAAGTAGTTTGCCACTGGTTTGGTGAGTTTCTGTGGTCCAGAAACAGCCTCTGTGGTCCCACAGCCTCTGTGACATGATTATCCAGAAGCTGTGACCACCAGCTGATCCTCCAGCCCAAACAAGGTAAGGGATTGGGAACAAAAAGGGAATGCAGAGAGCAGGACTTGAACTGGGCAGCATTAGGAGGGACACACAAGTTCTCCTGTTACACCCTCTGCCAGTGCAGCCACAGGAGGACAAACGGAAAAATCAACTCACCCCAGCCAATGCAGAGATAGAGGCGGAAAATCCTCTGCTCAGAGAAGACGGAAAGTACCAGCAGTGTGTACAGGTACATGCCTTCCACCAGCAGCCAGTAGTAGTTTGCAGCCACACAATACTGCATCATCACAAAGACCAAACGGCAGCTGAGTGATTCCTGTGACGGAAAAAAGCACAGCCCAGCGTAGCCCAACAGGGACTGAGAATAAAAAGATACTAACTCAAAAGACTGGTTCTCTTTACTACTGTTGCTCCTCAAAAAGAGAGCTTGCTAAACTAATCATGTTTTATTGCTGAATGGACAGAAACCAGTAATAGGGACTATGCACAGCAGAGAGATGCTTGCAACAACATTACTCCTTAAAACAAAAGGTACGTGTTCTGTATTTTCTCAATAAGCAATGAATTTTATTTTGAAAAGCATGAATAAAGATGAAAAGAACAAGTGAAAGGTACTAGATCAACCACAGTCAGTGAATCTTTCCTGAATACTCTATTTTGCAGTTGCCGTAAGGTTGACTATTTGCCAAAGCAAAGGATATTTTCATGGAATACCAATGTTGCCCAGTGCACCCCATTTAAGTGCAAATTCTCTCATAGCTGGTAAAATACAGAGATGATCAGTAGGACTTTAGATAATATGAAACCTGATTACCTAATTAATATATCCATCAGACCTGATGAAACCACTATTGAGTAAACTGTGTGCACAATCATGCTTTTTGGAAAGAGGAAATGACTGACAATCCAATATGAACATTTCCAAACCATTTAAGATCCGATGTTATTTTCTGGTAACTGATAAATTGCAGATGAGAAAAAAAATCCACCATCACATGAGATTCATTAAGTTGTTTTAGCACTTCTGCCTTAGGCAGTGTCAGAAAAGGACGGGCACTAAGGATGTATCAGGAGAGTTTCCCCTTACCACTCCAACCCTGTACTGCAGCAGCAAATGCTGTACCCATGTTTTAGAGTCTCAAGAGCTACACAGATAATGAAGCTATCTTTCTTTGAGGTTTCAAGTACATTTTGCATTCCAAATCCAAATGGGGAAGGGCACACTTTCATCATTATTTACAAAAGAGTTGTATATCCTCGTTCATAAGTTAGAGTATTTAATTAGCCTATTCATCCAAAGCTTTTCTAAATGCTTTCAAATTTGCATTTCAATCAGATGCTTCCTTTTTTTCCTCCCATCAAGAGATTATAAAGAGATGACCAAGAACAACAAACTTAGCTGGTGGACAACCAACTTACCCGATGGACAGTTCTATCACAAAAAATGCTGGCTAAGGAGAACAAATGCCCTCTTGTCAGTGCTAGAAAGAAATGAAACTGCAGCATAGAAAGAAGATATGGGCATTGGTGTATGTATATATATATGTATGCAAAAAGATCAGCTTCTTGTTCCTCTGTTTGTGGGGGCAAACTCCCACAGGTAGAGAAACATGTAATGCTATCAACTAAAGAATTAAATTACCTGATGTCATGCAGACACACCACAGTGATGACTCCAGTATCCTAGGAATGACCACAGTGTGTGCCCTTACCTGGAAGGCTATAAGTCCTTCCCACTGGTACTCTTGTGTGGCTGTGCTGTACATCCACTTCACCACTGAGTCTTTAATGAAAACAGATATAGCCCGGAGGATAAAAGAGGTGAAGAGGTTCAGGTGAATGTAATTCCTCGTGCAATGCAGATGTCTGTAAAAAGAAAAATACAGTCACGATCCACTACCTACATAAAAGATGCAACATCAGACACAGGACTGAGAAAAGGAACAACGAGCCCTGTAAGAAATCAGGAGGCACCAGAGGAAACCCCATAACTTGAGAATGGCTGTAGGGATTTCAAACTGTCTTTGGGAAGAAAATACTATCAAGGGAAACACATTCAAACCTTCAACCCTTAGAGCCAGTGTTTGGGGAAAGGAAGAAGATAGGTGCGTTAAGAAAAAAAAATTTCAAAAGCTTAAAAAGTGTAAAAATAAAGTAATTTTCACAAGCCTTATCTGAAAGGACTGAAAAAGTCAAGTTCCACATAATGCTGAAGCTAATTGCTTTGATTTGACCCCAATGTCACTGCACAAGTTTACCTTGGCGAAGCTCAGGACTGGTGTGCAGTGCAGCTTCTGGCTGTGCTCAAGCCCACAATGAAAAAACATCCACCTGCAAATCACCCTTTGACAACAAGAGAAAAATCTATATTCAAATTGCCTTCTGGGAGAACTGTAAATACTTTCTGTAGAAGTAAAAGGAACAGATTTTTCACCTCTGCATTCAGAATTGAAAACAAAAAAACAAAGGAAAAATCCTCTTGAATTTCAGTAGCCTGCTGCAAAGACAATAAAATTGCTACTTGTCAAACAAAAAGCATGTTAAGGGATAGCAAAAGAAACTGCAGTCATGTAAATGGCATCCAATTGCAGAGTACTGCCACTATTTTAGCAGCCTTATTCACATTTTTCTCCCAGCTCTGCAAGGGTATACGCTTCACCAAAAAGGAAGTTATATTAGGTATGATTTTTAAGATGGTAAAAGACAGATGTAACATATGGTAATCAGCAATTATTCCAGCAAAACTTTCAGTGAACTTATACTTCATATGTCTGGTTTTTACAGCTCTATAAATTTTGGTACAAAAACTGACTTGGTCTGCAAGTTAGAGGTTTGCACTGAAGAACAACTTGTTTGTCATAGGTCAGGTAGAGTTTTTGTATGACTTTTAAGTCACAGTTTATTTCAAAACTTACCTATTATTATTATTTATGTTCCTTAAACTCAAAATTCATTTGTTGCTACCCTTCAGAACTGCTATACATTTCAATCTGATTGAAAAAGTTATGTTAATTAGGCAATTGAAGAAAATAGGTTGCAAGTAGTTACTGAATATTTTTGCTACAGGCAATGCAAGTTATTCAAATAGTTTCAGTCATGAAGTTATGGGCCTAATTCAGCTTCCACCACTGAAATTGCAGACCTTCCTTCCATTTTTTTGGAGCATCCAAAAAAGGACTCTAGAGGGATACTGCTTTCTCTGCTGTATCACCTTTAAAGACAAATATAAAGGTTGTTCTGTAGTCTAAGAACTCTAAGAGGCCCATCAGTATTTGCATGTCATTGAATTAGATTTTGATCCCCATTTGTTGAGGCTGAGCAGCTCAGGGGAAACAAGCAGAGATTCCAGTCAGAATCCAGAAACTGCAATTCACATAGGGTAGGTCTCATATTTCACAAGATCCAGGACCAAGTTGTCTCCTGGTAAACAATTGAGACAGGAGAACACAAAATTGCATAGTTTTAACAAGACTCTAGGTACCTCTGATGTCCCTAGAACCTTTTGAAAGCCTTACTTTCAAAATGAGTAGCACACACTTGTGTACAGTTCTCCAGCCCCTGCTTCATTGTTGAAGAAAAAAATGCTAAAGCATCACCCCAATGAGAGAGGGACATCCAAAGTCCCTCTCTCCCTACCAGATCTTGGTGATAAACTTGCTCTTTGCTCCCTGCCAGAAAACATCCTTTCTTCCTTCCTTCAAAAAGCACATGGTTGTGCTCTGTGATCTTTACATTTGGGCTGCTAAGATTACTCAAGAAGTGTCATTGATAGGTGAAATGAGGAGGAAAGAGTTATCCTGGGAGACATTTGGAGACTTCAAGACCATCTGGTGCTTCCTCAGAAAGGTCCCAAAGTTGCACAGGTACAACACATACAAATCATAATTATCACATGGCATTCACAGAGGGTGAGCATGTCTCTGGATTTCTGCAATCATTTTAAAACTTCCTTGATATTGCCCACCTATGCTTCTCCACTGGAAGGAGAAGGGATAATATAGTGCTAAAAAAGTATGGTACGATGTGAGAAGGCTTGCATCACTTTAGTTTTGGAAATCAGAAGTTAAAATACATGACTGACCTTTTTAAATACATAAGGGAAGAAAGGAAAGGGACTGCCTTGCTAGAAGTGTAGTGCAGGCACCAGAGGAAATTACCAATAACTGGCGATGGTAATTCTTCAGTCAGGGAAGGAAGTTTCTCAAGGATCAGAGGATCACTGAAGGCTCCTGACTTGGCTTCAAATAAGAGTACCAGGACATGGAACATTATACTTTTTTAGGAAGCAGCCTCATCAGGACATAAGAGGGATGGGACTTGGCTGTAGGGATCAGCTTCATGGCAGAGGGACTTCCTTCCCACAACAGAACAGGATCTCATCTTTGTGTTTTCTAAGTCTCCAACTCAGCACCCCCAAATTGAAGGAAAGTCTAGCTGGAATCAAAACATCCCTTGCATTTACAGAGGTGGAAAAAAAAAAAGATCCCTATTAGAATCCAAAGTTGTGTTTTGGTCTGGTGGGGGTTTTTGTCTTTTATTTATTTTTTAACCAAACACACATACTGTATCTCTGGCATGGGCAACCAAGAGTGTCTAAATTTTTATAAGCTCTGTTGAATTTGTAGGTGCAAACTCGAATGAACTCAGTATGTCACTATGGCCAGCTGTCAGCAATTTATTTCACAAATTTTTCAAGTTTCAAATTAGACTCTCTTCCATATTGTGAAAGAAATAAGAATTTCTGAAAGTTCTCCGAAATTATTAATTTTGTCAAAAATCCATTTCTGCACATCTTGCATGTGAAGGCTGGGATATAGGACAGACTGAGATTTATGCTCTGGGTAATTCCAAGCAAAGCAAGATGAAAATTTTTCTCCTAAATGTCCTTGCCCATCTCATACTTGTGCCTCATCTGCAAGGTGAGACCATGAAGGAATGCTTGCATCTCTCTCTTTTACCACTTCTTCCAATGGAAATTTCATTTAAATAAAAACTTGCCTAACAAAATATTCCAATTGATAAAAAGTACTTTTTCTACATGTTCATATGGATAACTGCAAAAATTTGGCAATTTTACTTGCATTTTTAGAAGGAATTATTTTAAGAAGGAACACAGAAGTGACAAAAGATAGAGAAATAATGAGGTGATGGAAGGAGGGAAAAAAATAATCAAATGTTTCTGTCAAAGTCTGATACTGTCATATAGAAAAACATAAAACCTTTAGTCCACTCTCTTCAAAGCTTCGCCAGTTACCTGAATCCAAGAAGAATGGCAGTTGCTATTACAAGGGCAGAGAAGGAAAGAGCATATCCAATGGTGTATATGATGGACAAATTCAGGAGCTGTTCTTCTGGCGCATCCTGAGAGCATATAAAGAAGAAAAGAAAAACACAAAAGTGGAGGGGGAAAAGAGAGAGCTCATGGCCTTCAGTTCTTTTCTCCCAGCTACTTCTAGCTTTCTTAATGATAAGCAGAAATCATTCTCCTACTTTCAAGTTTAAATGCATGAGTCAAATCAGTCTTCCACTTTCCATATGCTTTAAAGAAATAAAAATTTAATCTTAATTCCTCAGCTGCTCCCAGGTATTTGCTGAAATAGTTGGGTTTTGCAGCCTGGCTAGAAAAATAGATAATGTGATATTATTTCATAATAAAATTGGAGAGACACAAATTACCACACAAGCAAGTCTTAAAACTGATGGCAGGAAGCAGAGACACAACTCAGACCTGCAGTAAAAATGGAAGACCTAACCTTTTCAGATTTGAGCACTTCAAGCAAGTATCCTTACTGTGATAATGAGGGGGTCCTCATCTACACTTCGAAGTGCAACAAGCCAGGTCCTGTTTGATGATTTGGAGGCAAAGCATGCCTTGCATTCACATAGCTAAATCCTTTTCTGCCTACAAATAATCTGTGTTCTGCCTCAATTGTGCAACCTCCCGGTAACAAACCACAGCACCTCATGTCCTGGGTGTTATCACAGAGTTTGAGAGGGAGCAACCTGCTGCAGACCAGAGCAGTGGGGGCTCTCTTCAGATTCAATGAAAACATGATTATTGAGACCCTTGCTTGAAAATTCTGGCCAAAATCCTTATAGAGAAGAGAATTACTTGAAAAGGTACAGGCAGCTCTGCATTTTAACACAGTCTTATTGCTCAGCCTCCGAGACACATTCATATTCATTGTCCTAGTTCATCTCTAAGCACTTATCTTTGTCTAAATAGACTCAGGGGTTTTATTTCCCTTCTTGAAGCTGCTAACTCTGCAATTGACTCCTGAGACCTGTGCTGTACAAAGGAATACATTCCTTGTACTTCATAAATTAGGTACAGTTATTCAGATGCATTTTGCACAGCTAGGAGGATTTAAGGCTGTACCTCAGATTTGCTAGCTTAATGCTTTAAAGGGAATGCATGAAAGCTGCCCTATGAAAAGGAAAATCTCTTCAGTATCAAAGCTTAAGCAAACAACTGAAACCCAACAATGTAAAACACGTACACAGATGAAAATGACATCACACACCTAAATTTATAAATATTCACTAACACTTTGGAATTTGCTTTAGTTACATTTGTAATATAATACGTGACAAACTCATAGAAACAACTTGTTCCCACACGCCAGATGCATAAACCACAGTTACTATGGGGCTCTATATACATTAGCTGGAAAACCAAACATGGCTGTTCACATTTCAGGGAGTGACACCACCTACAAAGGGTTTCAGAAAATCCAGATCAGTTCATGAAAAATTGGAGGAGGTGCCAAACGAACAAGTGTCACCATTAGGTATCTCACTCACTGGCATGTCCCAACACAGCTCTGGAAGAAATCATAATGGCCAACAAGGAGAAGTCAAACAACCAGGCTTGTACATAGCATTAAAACAGTGTGTTCTGTGCTGGAATAGCACAGAACACAAAAGGGACAAGGAGTAAGGCTGCAAGTCAAAGGAAAAGGTTAAAATTCACATATTTGGAGAACAGAAACTCTCTCTTTTCCCATCTCTGCCTGGTCTTCCTTTTGAAGAATGAGGCACTGAGCAATGGAAACCATAGAAGGCATAGATCCTGCAGCTCTTGGACTTTCATAAACTTGAACTGTTTTTGACTAGGTAACGCACTGGCTCCCGGTACTCTGGGATAAAGAGTGCACTCAATTTCTGTGAGGAAAAGCATCACCCTGGGAGGTTCACAGTAGTAGTGGTATCACGTGTCATGGGAACGCACACAGTGCACTGGCTGACGCCAATGGCTGTCAAAAATCCTCTGAAAATCCCTGTGCTCTCCTTCATTTAGTGCCAGGCATCTCAGCTCCCTGCAGAGTAAAAAGCACGAGGGCAAGAAAATAACACTGACAAGCCTAATTCCATCGCCCACAGAAAATGAAGGTATAAAGACAAAAAAAACCTTAAACAAAAAAAAGGCAGGTATTGCCCCATGCCCAAAGGTGAAAAAGCAAATATCCTTCAGTTCATCTTAATCACCTTAATCGCTGCTAACAAGACAGGCAGAACAAATGGTCACTATTGCAATGACGTGACAATGGAAAAAAGGCAAAGGAATAACAGTAGGTCGCTCCTGCAGTTGAGCTCTTTGTTCAACTTGCACCACAGCTGGGATGACCTGAGTCACTTCTCTTGGCTCTCACGCACATTTAGAAGCACTCTCATCTACCCTTCATGTTCTCCTTGTTGAAGGGGAGAGACCTGCTGTCCCTCAGCATTAGGCTCACTGAGGTGAGTCAGTCAAAATTACTCTGACAGGAGAAAAACGCGCGGCCATCAACAACTATTTTTTTCCTCTCTTCTGCTTTGTCCTAAACAGCAGCAGCAGGAAGCGGGGAAAATGGGAGAAACTCTTACCTGGTCAGAGGGCTCACACTCAGACAGGTTCCTCCAGGGCAGGGTTGAATTCTCCTTCAGCAGCCAGGTCCCCTCCGAGGTGCAGAAGCGGTACACCTGCCCATGCAGCACTGCCAGGAGCAAAGTGAGCCACAGGGTCAGTGGGAAGAGAGCCTACAGCCGAGGGGCAAGGCTCACAAAGCATCTCCATGCAACCCTCCTTCCTCAGCCACCACTCTCCTGGCTAGAGGGGGAAGCTGCAGCATGGCAGGGAAGTGCTGCACCCGCTCCCTGCCTGCCCCTGACACTCAGCTGCTTGTCCTCAGGGCCCCGGAGCAGCTGCCAAGGTATCAGATGGCACCAGGACATGTTCCAGGACAGTTGCCGACCATTCCACAATAACAAGAGACTGAAAAAATTGCTGCCATCTTTGTGTGGATTTTACAACATACATAAATTCCAGCTCACTAAAATATTAGATTTTGAAACATACAAATACTAGGAGTGTTAAGCTTCAGCTACAAATTCTACACGGAAAAGAAGGTTCACAAAGATTAAATGTGCTTTTTCTTTTCTGAAAGCATGCAGAACCAGAGAAACCTCAGAACAGGTATGCTAACACAAGCTTCCCAAAATGTAAGTGCTTATACAAACATCTGTGCTATAAAATGTAGCCATAAATCTTTTCCTGAACTACCTATGTACTCCTTCCATTCCCTCTGTCTACCTCTTTGAATAACAAAATTAGCAATAAATTAAACACCTTTCTCAAGCAGTAAGCTGCTTGATCTTGTAAAAGCAAGTACATGGAAATGGCTCCCAATAAAATTATGTCAGACAGAAGCACCAAAAGAGAAACTGCAAAGGGAAGCAGCACTCAATCATAGTACACAAAAAGAGACTCCCTCTCTAGTGTCTGGAGTACTGGGGAAATCTAACAACTTAGACAGCTGTACACACAAGCAACTGGAAGTGTTCTTCTATGAGCTGCTTTGCAAATAAAGTTTCTCACCAATCACATTTTTGACCCAGTAAACGGACCTATTTGGTATAGCAAAGCTACCCCTCAAAAAGCAATGCTGGGTCAATCCCTCAACCAGGGTTAGCCTCTACCCAGAAAAATGTTTAGAAAAATGCACTTACAATATTCTGGGGTATAAGAAGATGAGTTGGGAGGATTCAGTCCTACATTTGATGTAATAATTCCAATTACATCTTTTGCTCAAACCCAGCCTTGCCTGTTGCAACCTCATTTTTTTGTCAGCTCCCTCAATACTGCAAACTAGAATCATTAGAATTTGGCATTTCCGTTCAATGCGGAAATTTTAAAACTTATTTGAAATTCTAACAACCCAGGAGGTTATTTGCATGTTAGCTGACAACTGGTAATCTGTTTGATAATTATCAGCAGCAGACAACTGGCAGGTACTATATGTAATAAATGTTTAAAAAATATAGACATTAATATTCTAATAAACCATTTGTAATGGGTACTCTAAATGGTAGCTGAAAATGGTTGTGGTAGGCACAGTCTATTTGGTTTTGTAACTGCCATACTGAATATACCAGTAAGAGGCAATATAAAGGTGATATAAAAATTAAGCTATGCTTGTGGAGCTTTTTTCTTACTATTAAGGGTAACTGTTCTTGTGAAAACAGAACAGATTAGGTACAGCACCTGCAACACACACATTCACAGCCACTAACTGCACCTGCTCTCATTATCTACTGCCAGTGACAATTTCTTCAGGTCAGTGTATTGCTATGATGTTGCTCCAGGGTAATAAAAATGCTTCTTTAGGAGCATCAGGAATAAAAGACTAGGGAAAACGTGGGTCCTCTCAGGAAGGATAGGGGAGATGTAGCTGCAAAGGACAGGTAGAGGGCTGTGAGGTACTCAATGGTTTTTTTGCTTCAGCCTGGAGAAGAAAAGGCTCCAGGGAAACTCTAAAGCAGCCTTCCAGCTCCTGTAGGGGGCTACAAGAAAGCTCGAGAGTAAATTTAGACTAGATATTAGAAAGAAATTCTTTACTGTAAAGGTGGTGAGTCACTGCTACAGGGTATGCTGAGAGGCTGAGGATGCCACATCCCTGGAAGAGTTCAAGACCAGGCTGGATGGGACCTGGAGCAGCCTGGCCTAGTGGAAGACATCCCAGTCCAGGGCATGGTGGTTGGAACTAGACGATCTTTCAGGTCCCTCCCAACCTAACCATTCTAATATATTCTATGAATATATTAAGGATCTCACACATCATTCCCCCTCTCACCCACCCCCTTACGATTAGTGGTCAGCAACTTGAAGCAAGCCATTCAAAACACCTGTGCAAAAGCAGCTCTAGGAATCAGTAAATATTGTATATTTGGAGCCAATGAATGTGAAATCCAGTAGGTTTAAGTCCAGAGGGTCATAGGACTAGGAAATTTTGTCTGACTACCATTAGATGAGCTATAAGCAAGAATTACAAGACAAAGTTATTATGAGCAATAATCCCAGAAAACAAGAAATGTTACTATGTTCCGGGGGGGGGGGACGACGACCCACAAGGGGAAAAAAAACAACTCACCCCGCTAAAGGAGAATTAATGAAAAAACAAGCAAGCAAAAAACCCCCAAACATTATTTCACATTTTCTAAAACTCGTTGTGAATTCCCCCCCTCTGTCGGTATTTCTTAGTGGCGAGGTCTAATTGGAATGATTGCTTAGCTTCAATATATTTATTTTCTCTCCCAATCATCATGACACACTTTAATTTTCTTTTTATTGATAACACTTTTTAAATAATGAAGAGCAAAACCTAGTGTATCCTGAAGCCTAGCATACATTAGAGAAAGGTTTACTGTAAATGAAACATGGAATTTGCTATCAGACAGAAAGACAAGGCAATTCATTTAGATATGAAGAAAAAATAATGTAATGCTATTACACTGGATAGAAACATTCCTGCCACATCTTAGGGGCCACAAATACTCAAAGTGAATGGCTCTTACAGACTTCTAGGTAGTCACATGCCAGCTGTGTCAGGTTGTCATAGACTCACAGTTTGCCAAAACAGGGGTGGCCAGGGCAGGACTCAGAGGCAACTGAAGACCAGCTGGGCTATCTGTACCCAGGAAGAGCCTTAAAATGTAAAAGAATAAATCAAACAAATTCCAAATAGATGAGACTTCACATCAACTTGTGAAAGCCTAAATACCTGGTTTATGGAATAACTTATTAACCAAAATTCTTATGAGATAGAAAAATGTTTCAAAAAAGAATGTTTTAATGTTTGCTTTAATGTTTTAAAGAGTGTTTATAATGTTATAAAAATTTCCACTTTGAGGCACCATTCAGATGCCAGTTGATACATGGGACAATGCTCATGAAAGAGCTGAGAGAGTGCAGAATGCAGGACATGAAAATAACACAGGGCTGATGCACTGCAGGCAGCCAGTTACTCTGAAACATGAAAACAAGTCTCACTGTTGTGGAAATGGAATGCTTTCAGTAATGTGTCAGACTCCCCATTACCCACACAGCATCACTCTGTGGAGCTGAGAAGGGCTCAGAAATCAATAAACACCACACGCATGAGCCCCTTCATGCCCTGCAGCTTGGCCCATCCCACAGCAGCACCATGCAGGCTCTCCCAGGCAAACCCAGCCCAGGGCTGCAGCCACCTTCGAGCGCTGTGTGATCGGTCAGAGAAGCTGCCCGGAGGAGACTGCCCAGAGCCCAGACTTCACACAGCATGCCCACGGAAAGGTGTGCCTCTGAAACACAACCCTCCCTGACTGCATCAGCCCACAGTCATTCCTACTTTCTCCATTTCCCAGAAGCAGAAGGCAAACAGCCTCCATCCATTGCTCCTGTGGGCAACAGGCTCAGTGGCAGGCAGCCACCTGCTACTGACCAAACACAAAAAAGGCTGGTAATGACGGACAGCTCAGAAGAGATTCACCTGAACTGAACGCTCTTCCCCAGTCTTGTCTCAGTGACATGAGGGACAGGGTAGAACACCAGGAACTCTGCTCTTGTGTTTCTCCAAAATAACCGATAAAACCCTGGAGATTTTAGATCTTCTCATATACAAAATTCCCATCTTTGTTGCAGGTCCAACAAAGTTCAAGGATTCCACTAGCTTTTAATCAGGAATGTTTTGACTCAAGAATTGCAAGTGTCTTACCATTCTTTCTGCTCAGAGGAAAGCACATGGCTTGCAATAAAGCTACCTAAAAATGTCTTAAAACAATTTTTTCACAGGTACTTTTTATGACTCTCTTTGCACAGGTGGTCATATGCCTTAAGATGGCAGAGATCTTCAACCTTCTCGAACAGATAAAGGGATATTATATGCACACATTCTGTCTTTGCTGAGGGCCTGGTCCAAAGCTCAGCTGCAGTTCATTTCCTGCAACTTTCATGTGATGCCATTGCTGAAAAGAGAATCAGTTATTAATAGACACTGAGACAAACTAGCAGTGACATGCTAGGAGGTGGCCTGTATGCCATGACAAAAAGAAGGCACCCACACAGCTGCTGAGCAATTTCAGCTCCTTGCTTGCTGGTGGTTTACTCAGAGCAATTCACATTTGTCCACGCCTGAATTCTGCAGTGACTCAGGCTCTCTTACCTTTAATGCAGTCAAAACACCAAGCATACAAAGACCAGCAGCAGCTCTAACAGACCAGAATGATGAACAATTTTTTTTTTAAAGGTTCAAGGTGGTTCTTGCCTCCTTGCTATCCTGCAATAAATACCTTTTTCCTGTCCTGTTATGTTTTCTCTTACCATACCATCAATATTTCAAATCATTCCACTATATTCTAGAATTGGCTATCATTCTTTGCAAATAAACAAATACACACCCAGTGCACAAGGAATCTGATTTTATTTACTTCTTAAGTTAAGTGCAAAAAATTGCAAACCCTTTGGAATAGCAGCTTAATGGCATGAGTCTATTTGGACAGTGTCAATCACATCTCATTAGAATTACATGTTAAAACATGGATTGATGCCCAAAACTCAGTCTCTGTGAGCTGATAAAAAGTACAGAACTAGCATTGAAGCTAATAACACCTATCTACTGTACCTGTAAATCAAATCAAATCAAATCCCAGAAGTAGCTGAATACTTTTACACATGGAGACC